GGCACCACAACTGGTGCTGTGCGCAAGCCCGCGTGCAGCACACTTTTGTTCCGACTTGAGGGGTGGCTCTGACGAGCCAGCGATATCCCTGGGATTGAATATTCTCTCTGGCCAGCTGCTCCGTCGTGGGGACGCTGGAGTACGGCCAGAACAACGGCTACGACATGGCCCGCCCAGGGTCCAAGGGTCCGAAGGGCAAGCCCCGTTCACCGTCGCCAGCCAGCAGGCGCAAGAACGACTATCTGGTTTGTCTTCAGTGCCCTCCTGGTACCAGCTGGATTTGGAAATCCCAGGCGCTCAAACCAGGACGTGAGAAATGTAACAAGTGTGGCATCTTCGACTGGACTTCTCTCCTTCGCCCAGGATCCGTGGTGCGCTTCCAGCTGGACACAGCGCCCGTGGACCCCGCCGTCGCCGCCACCATGCAGAAGGCAGTGGAAGCCCTCAAAGAAAAAGGCGACGAGGAGGGAGCTCGAATGCTGGCAGAGAAGTTCCCAAGTGCCCCAGCGCCCAGTCAGCCACCAGCCAAGCCCACGACCAAGCAGCTGGAGGACGCAGCCGCTACCTTGCGCCGGCTCCAAGGCCAGCAAGAGCGGCTCAAGTCCCAGCTCCAGTGAGCAGCGGCCTGGCAAGACGAATTGGTTGAGAAGCTCACCAGAAACATCGACGAGACCCAGCAGGTATCATCAGAAGTGGAACGCCTTTCAGCTTTTCTTCGGGCCAGTGGGGCAGAGCCTCCATCACCTGCTCCGACCGCTGAGGAAGGCGATGATGAGTTCCCCGTTCTGGAAGAAAGCGAGTTGGCTCTCCTTGCCCCTGAAGGGCGCGCAGCCTATGATCAAGCGAAGTCAGTTCACGAGCAGGCCAAGCAGGCCATGGAGAACCACCGCCGCAAGGGAGCGCAAGCTCGTGACGCAGTCGCCACAGCTCAGAAGCACCGCGAGACCATCACCCTCAAGAAGCGCAAGAAGGATGAAGGAGATCACCGCGGTGCCCCTGCAGCCACTGGCGCTGTCCAGAAAGAAGAAGCCGCTGCTCCAGCGCCAACAGCCAACAAGTACGATTTCACGAATGCAGAGGAGGTCAAGCGATTCGTGGACGAGACGACCCGTGTTCGTGCAGCTCAAGTGGCAGCCACCAAGGGCGCGGGCAAGGGCACGAGTCAGCAGTGCTCCTGACCCGCGCTTCCAGCGCCTGGCGACGCGCGACCTGCGCGTCTTCTATGCGAACATCAGCAACTTCTCTTATGCCGTCCGTGAGTTCTGCAGGGATGCGCCATACGACTTCATGGGGTGTGTGGAAACCCACCTGTATGGCAAGCAGCTAGAGGACGAGCAGCGGCACCTCAGAGGCATGGGGTGGCGCACTGAGTATACTACGACACCAGCCACGCCGACGTCGGGAAAGGGCAGCTCTGGGGGAGCTCTCTGGGCGCGCGCGAGGCAGTTCAACACCTTTCCGCATCTTGCCACGGGGGGTCGCGATGACCTTCTGTGCCAGCAGCTCCATGACATTGCAATCACCATGGTCCGCCTCAAGCACGTAACGGTCGCTTTCATCACTATCTACCTCACCTCGGACCCCAAAGGGCTGGATCTCCCTGCCAACATCTCCAAGCTCAACCAGCTGCTCACGCTCGTGCGCACGCTGGGCACGCCGTGGATGGTCTACGGCGACTTCAACAACACTCCAGAGCAGTTCAGGGCCTCGTGTTGGCACGAGGCTTTCGCGGCTGAGTATCTCCAGCCCAACTGCGAGTTCACCTGCGCGGGAAGTCAGGGCGTATGATATATTGGGGTCTATGTTCGCCAACGTTCCTGCCGCTTGTCAAGTCCGTCGAGCCTGTCTATAATGTTCCGTGGCAGCCGCACGTGGGCATTGAGATCCGCATGCACTCGAGGCCTGCCGCTGTTCTGTGCACTCGACCTCTCCTCCCAGCTCCCATTGAGATCCCAGACCACGAGATCCATATTGAGAAAGGGCTCAAGAGGAAGCAGAATGATCGTCACCGCCATGCGCAGATCCACCATACTGAAGATGGCGAAGTATTGGAACACGGCGGCGATGTGCATGACCACCTGCTGCAAGACCATTACGTCAAAAAGGTGCCGTACATCGTCGACCACGAAGCCTGGGAGAACTACAAGCACCAGGTCCAGGACATCCCAATCTTGGAAGCCAGCTCGGAGACGCAGCAGTGCATAGCCTACGCACTCGACCCAGCTGCTGCTAGCGACCTTGCGGAGTCGTATGGCAGATGGGCCATGGCCGCGGAGGCCTCTCTACTCAACCTGACGGATGCCATGCCGATCAGCGACGAGCGCCGTAGAGGACAACCGCTACGCTATCGGCTCGAGCAGATGATACGCCAGACTGACCCCACGTACATCCAAGCAGGCACCAAGCAGCTTGAGACCAATGCCTGGATCAGCCTCACCAGCCAGCTCCAAGTCTTCGTCAAACAGTGCGAGCGGCGCCAATCGCAGAGCGAAGCGAACTTCGGCACCATCAGGCCAAATACTGTTGACCAACGAGACCACCAAGCTGCCGACGCTGTACTGGATGACCCTATTGCGCGCATGGTTGCACGCACGCCGTCTTACCAGTGCTACCCGTGGACTGACATCCCTTTCGGCAGCCGGCTACAACTTCCAGGCCAAGCCGTGTCTCCAGCTCCGACGTGCACAACACCGTGCCCAGCCGTCACCAGCATGGACGACGAAGAGGCTGACCCCTTCGACGCGATCAACTACGACGTCGACTGCTTTGACTACCTGGAGCTGCTGCAGCGCGAGCCTGAGGAGCCAGGCGAGCCGCATCCTCTACCACGAGGACGTCTGCGAGACGCAGAGCGGCCAGAGCACTCTAATATCGGATGCTCGCTATCGCGCCAAGCTCCGAGAGTTGCCAATGTTGCGGAAGTCTTGGGTGGGTCTCTTGGGCATCTTGGGAGTAAGCCTCAAGAGGCTGAAAGGGGCCCTGGGGGGATCGGCGTCGGAGCCGTGCCCGTTGATATCGCTGCCGACGACCGTGAACCCTCGGGTCCCGCGTCTTGGGGTCTCGACCCGTCTGGGGCCTCCTCGTCTCAAGTCGCCAGCGGAGCGACGCCACAGCTTGACGCAGCTCGACCTAACAACAAGAACTGGAGTCAGAAGGAACAGTCTCCTGTGTGCACCAGTGGCGAACCAGTGGCAGACGGTATAGCCAGCGAGGCTACCAGCAAAGGAGAGTTGGACTACACCGCCGTCGGAGAAGCAGAGCTGTTCAGCTACCTGCACCAGCCCACACAGTTCATGGGCCGTGATCCGACTCTGCCACCACCGCCTCAACCAGTACGTGACTTCACCGAGTCTGTCACTGTCTGGGCAGCTACCTGGATCACCGACCTGAGCGAAGAGGAGCAGGAACCGTCCGACTGGATGCGATGGTGCGAGCCGTACCTGCTCACCTACCTCTTGCTCCCATGGAACAGCGAGCTCGCCCGTCAGCTCCAAGCGCAGCACCAAGGACGGCCACTGGAACAAGTCGCACATGAACTGTGCGAGCGAGCCTGGCGCCGAGCTTCTCCGAGAAGGCAGGCCCTGCTCGACTGGATCTCAGAGTTTGACAGCGACCCTGATGCCAGGAATGCTGCCATCAACGAGCATTGGAGACTCCATGAGGCCACGCGTCAGATGTTTCGAGATCTCCTTCAAGACAGAGCGCCACCTGATGATGATGGGCAGCGAACTGATGACGGCCAGGCCTCGGATGACGCCGAGCCTGCTGGCCAGCCTGGCCCTCCTGCAGGTCCGAGGCAGCTCCTGGACAACCTGGTGGACACGGTGCAGAAGATGAGGGCAAAGGCCCCCCAGGATTGCCCAGAAGGCGAGATTGCTTTACTGGATGAGCTCAGTACGCTCCTCCATCAAGTCCGATATGATCAGATTTACCCGGCCTCAGATGGAATCCCTGATGTGCTCGCCAAGTCCCGCACCTTCTCTGAGGCGCACTCCAAGGCTACCTGGGCAGCAGCGCAGATCTCAGTGAGGGAATGGGCCCAAACAGCCCTGCAGGGCAGCCTTAAAGGAGCCCATCGCTATATCTCGAAGGCCGAGAAGAAGGACTTGCTCGACACCGCCATCCATAATCACCAGGTCATCGGCGACCCTCAGGGCTCTGTCGACGCCAGGGCAGCCAAGTGGCAAGAGCGATGGACCACACATTCGGCAGGCAGCGACCTCACCGACAGCATGAACGCCCTGCGCCGCAAGGCGCGCGATCAGCTCCACACGGACTGGGTCGACTACACCATGGATGATCTCCAAGCTGCCTTCAAAAGTATTCCATTGCAAACGGCGCAGTCCACAGATCAATGGTCACGTGCGTCGCTCCAGGCGGTCAGCCAGCAAGCGAAGCAGGAGTTTGTTCATTTGTTGAACTCTTGCGTCCACAAGTTATCTTGGCCATGCCAGCTCATGCAGATCTGGACCTGTCTCCTTGCCAAAGGCGATGCGGTAACCACGGGCGATGAAAGGCCCATAGGTTTACTGCCCATACCAGCCAGGGTCTGGGGACGTATGAATCGTTACCTCACAGGCCAGTGGTGCGACGCCAAGGCTGGCTTCTGGGACAAAGCCATCAAAGATCGTCGTCGCTGCAGGCGGCGCTCACGACGCTCATACTGGACGAAGTTTCGGCCGTGCGAGGCGACACAGATGTTGCCACCCTGTTCCTGGACATTATGAAGTTCTACGACCATGTGGACATCAGCCTCCTGTGCGTCCTCGCCACCAAGCTGGACTTCTCACCTGTGGTACTGTATATGTCATGCCTGCTCTACCTCAGCCCACGCATCATTCGTGTCCGAGGTGTCTACAGTTCTGGTGCTGTTGTTCCACACAATGGGCTACTCGCTGGATGTACAGAGGCGAACAACATGGCCAGGGCTTACCTTTACGACTTGCTGGAGCACGTCCACTTGCGCTACCAGGGCCTCATGATGCGAAAGTTCGTGGACGATCTCATGGTGCGGGCAGAAGGACACCGTTCCCTCGTACGCCACCAAATGGAAAAAGGCTCGGCAGCTCTTGTTGACGGAATTCAGAAGCTTGGTTTAAAGGTCTCTGAGAAGACTGCCATCTTAGGCCACCGCTCAGTTCAGCAGGCAGTTACCAACTCAATCCGCAAGGTCGGCGTCAACATCCGAGCGGCCAAGACAACCAAAGACCTCGGCTTCGACTCGACGGTGGGTAGATCACGGCGTACTCCTACAGCGGCCAAGAGAGCCAGAGCGACGGCCAAGAGGTTCCGACGGGCACAGATCTTCCAGAAGCGCGGAGTTGGACGCAAAGTCACTGCAAGACTCTACACTGCCAACCTTCGGGCCAGGAGGATCTATGACGCCTCCGTTATGGGATTGCCTGCTACCCGAGTCAAGCAGGAACGAGCCACGGCAACTACCGTGGCAGGCCTTACGGTGGGTGGCAGATGCACTTCGACCATCATGCTTCGCATCTACGACAAGCAGGACCCGCTCTCTTTCAATCTCAGACGCCAGATCACTGAGTGGTTCACCTTCTGGGCGCAGCAAGAATCGTACCACGCTCGAGTTCGGTTGGGATGGGAGGCTGTGTATGCCAAGATGGCCCAGATCCGTGCCAAGTCCAAGTGGCGTTCGGTCACAGGGCCCATGGCTGCCCTGGTTGTCGGCATGGGCGAGATCGGCTGGCAACTTCGCCACCCTGATCGCTGGACGGGCCCAGAAGGAAATGATTGGATCTATAACCCTGATGACACAGATTTGAATTCTCTCTTTGATGCAGTTCACGCTCGTGTTGAAGCCGACCTGTGGAAGCAAGCTGGTCAACATCCTGAGGGCTTTGGCTGTGAACAAGGAGGTCGTCTTCAAGCGACGCAGCGCACTTTGCGCTGGATGCGACGCAAGAAGTTCTTCAAGGAAGCTGGTGCTCTGGAGAACATCGTCACTGGAAGTTGCTGGACTGCTCAGCGCACCTCCACTGCGGGCTACGTTTGTCCAGCCTTGTGCCCGCGCTGTGGAAAAGGCAGCTGAGGACTTGCTGCACCGTTGCTACCTGTGCGAGAAAAACGATGACATCGACCATGACTGGATCCGCCGTACCCAGGACCTCAAGAACCGAGCTGCTCAGTCTATGAGTGCTGAGCCTGATATGAAGATGTTCTGGTGCAGTGGTATTTTGCCAGCCAGGCTCAACAAGGTTCCAGAGGCCCCAGAATGGAATGAGGCCCAGGTCGTCTACGACGTCGATATGCCAGTCCAGGTGCCCCAGTTCGAAGGCTACTCCTGCATCAGCGGTAACCCGATTCAGGCCTGCAGGGCCTACCTCGACGGCTCCGTCAATTCAGCAGATGCTCGTATTGCTCGTGGCGGCTGGGGGGTCGCTTTCGATTTCGACGAGTCTCCTGCTGAGGATCGTTTTCCTGGGCTTTTCGGCACCATCGACGGCCGTCAGACGGTTCCCTGTGCAGAATTGGCTGGCCTGTACTACTGTCTCCTCTACACCCAGGGGGCCCTCGAGATCTGGACCGACAATGCCCTAGTTTACCGTGGTTGGAACTCTCGGTTGTGGCTATACCCTCAAGGTCACCAGAAGCAGTGGTGGCAGCGGATCAAGCAGGCTACCCCCCAGAGTCCCGACAGGATCTCCAATGTCAGCGCGAAGAAGTGTAATTCTCATCTCGATGCCGTGAGCCTGAGTGTAGCTTCCCAGCCCTGGTTTGTAACACTAGGTAATGAACGAGCTGACGCTCTGGCCCAACGTGGCCTCGAGAAAGCCCTGAATTTGATCCAGCCCCAATTAGATTCTTTGAAGGACTATGAAGCTCTCCTGCAACGGGTCCACAAGCGTCTAGCTGCTGTTGCTACGGCTGTAAACTCGCTTCCCAGGGTCAAGCACCAGCGTCCTTTGGTTGCGCGTACCCGCCGCAGGCCTGTGAAGATAGTCGCGCTTCAGCAGGAGCTTGAGCGTGCCACGGGCCATTGTATGCAGCAGCACCCGAAGGACAAGAAGCGCTGGTTCTGGTTCCATTGTAAGCTTGGCCCCACGCGAGAGGCCGTCGAGAGCTGGATGCAGGCCCACCCGTGCAAAGGTAGAGCGTTTGTTTCTTGTTATAACGTGCCCCTGCCAATTCCGCCCTCTGCGTACCCCTCACTTACAGTTGGAGGTAAGATCATACACCCGACCCATTCGATGCAAAGTATGAATGGTCAGCTTTGGTGTACGAAGTGCGCGAGGCTCGGCAGCTGCACGAGCACTGGAGGTGGTAAGCTCAACCAACTCCCCGTCTCTTGTCCAGGTGGTGTGGGCACTGGCAGTGGACGGGAAGCGTTCCGCAGGTTGGCGAATTGCCAGCCACCGAATGTTTCGGCCAAGGTTTGGCCCTCTGGGGACCCCATTAAGCCCCTTAAAGCATGCAAAGCCAAGCGTGCACGCCTGATGTAAGAGGCTCGGTCACAAGGGCCGCGGCGTGTCTCTGGCCACGACCGCGCCCCCTCGGTGGGCCGACTCCCCCTCCTCCTCCTCCTCCTCCTCCTCTTCCTCCTCCTCCTCCTCCTCCCCCTCCTCCTCCCCCTCCTCCTCCTCCTCCTCCTCCTCCTCCTCCTCCTCCTCCTCTCCTGATGGTCGGCCCCAGGGGCAGCGTGCCTGCGCCTGCCGAGGCGGGAGAAGGGCGTGGGAAGGAGGAGGAGGGAGGAGGAGGAGGAGGAGGCGGAGGAGGAAGAGGAGGAGGATGAGGAGGAGGGAGGTAAGGAGGGAGATAAGGAGGAGG